AGCAACACTCACCTCCTGTTGTCAAAACACCGATAGGCCCTCATCTCGCAGCACCTGTCCTGGCTGCGCCGGGGCTGCTGGTCACTGATACGCGCCAACCCCTTCTCCCCCGTGTGCCAGACGAGGAAACGGAGGCTCGCGGCTCTGGGACCGTCCCAGGTGCTGACTGAGGCCTGTCGCCGACCCCTCCGCGGGCTGCTCAACGACTGTGCTCAGAGTGGGCCGCCTGGGCGGGCGCCTTCCCAGCAGCCTCTGCGCGGAACCAGAAGGACGTCCTGCCCAGCCGCAGGCACCGCCCCTTCCGCCGGAAATGCCCTGGAAGGGCGGGCTGGAAGAAGACAGCTGGGGTGGGGGTGGACAGGTGGAAACCCTAAGCTCCGGACAGCGGGCTCTCCTTTGTTATTCTTTCTCTGGCTTTGGCGACTGATTGGGCCTGAGAAAATGCTGGCCATTCAGCTTTTCCTCTACCCTTCAGGAATGTGTCTGTGCTCAAGAACATGGAAGCATGTGGCAAGCACACCTGCGTTACAAAGACATGCAGACAGCAGGTCAGCTGGTGCAAATGCTCACCCGCAGCAGGAGGGAGCCTCAGGAGGGGGCTTCAGTGTGCAGGCAAAGGAGGATTTTGCTTTTTAGGTGGTATTTTCATAGGTGTATTGTTTCCAGGTAAGCAGACTTGCTGAGTGGCTCCACGTCTTCCAGCTACAAAACCATCAGAGTCAGTATTTCAACCCCATTCTGCTGACCCAAAGCCTGGGAGCAGCACACTCAGCTATCCAGCCTCTCAGGTCACAGGAGGCCAAAGGGGTTCAGGGCCCATCCATTTTACAGATGAGGACTCGGGGCCCCCCCACACAGAGCTCCCTGGGGTATTTAGCCCATAATGACTCCCCATTGAGCTGGTCACATCTGTGGCCATCCATGGCCTTATGTACCTATTGACTCACCTCCCTCTTCCATTAACCCCCCCCATACCTGCTGGTCCCCTACACTGTAGGGGAGGGGCTCCAAAAGTCAGAGGGCTTGGGACAGAAGACAGAAGTGCAGAGAGAGCACAGGCCACCTGGGTTTGATGTCCCCCAAACACACAAACTAGCTTTTGCACCTGCTGGTTGGGAATAAGATAAAAATTGCTTATGAAATGTTAGCTATCCTAGTGGTCACTACTAATCATCTCCATGGTTGGGACACGAAAGTGAGCATTTGAGGTGCACCGGGGGGATCCTTCCAGCACACGGGCCTCATTCAGCCCAGCCTCCTGCAGGGTGGCTGTGGCTCCCACTTTGACGCTGCTGGGAACCAGCTCTGTCAGAAGCTGGGAAGACAGTCCCCAAGAGGGATCAGCTTTTCAGGAGTTACATACAGGTGGTGCTTAATAAATATTATTGGATGAGGAAGCTGCATTGGACCAAGCATGCTCATGGATGCCACGGGAAGCCACCCAGCCTTTGGGTGAAGAAGGAGGGAGAGTATCAGGCATTAAAGAGGCCTATAGTTATGGAGTTAGTGGAAACTTCCTAAATTGATTTGGGGGGGGTGGGGGTGGGGGAAGGGGTCCGAGCCTGTGGAGTTACTCAGCCAACAGGAACCCACCCACAGTTTCAGCTTGAGGGCATCTCGTGCTCTAATTGTGCTAACGGTGCATGTAAACCAGGCCTCTGAGGTTTTTAATTGGGGGTTTTTGCTTTTTATTTTGTTTTCCTGACTGAAGAATCCTCCCTGGACTGAACCCCAAAGCTCTCAGTACCACAATGGGCACTGAGGGAAAAACAGCCCACCAGGTAAAAGTCAGGACCCTTCCCATCCTTCGAGGGAGGGATACTCCTCCTGGATACTCCTACCCTCACACCTCTGTCCTCCTGCTCCACCGATGGTGCTCCCTGGGCCATCAGTGGGAAAGGCGAGCCCGGGTTTGGGGACCAAGGGATGAGGCAGCCTCTCCCGCTCTGTCCTAGTCACATGCGCTAGGACCCCCACTTGGGCCAGCGTTCTTCCCTTGCTGTGCCTGGCTCCAGGTGCGGGGCTCAGCCACCCCTTGCATGATGACAGTATCTCACATGTGCGTGGGGCCTGGTACTTTTCCAAGGGCTTTTAAATGCATTATCTTGTCGGAGGCTCATTTGAGGCAAGGACTCAAAGCACACTGGAAAACAACTCATTTACTGACTCCTGAATGGGCGGAAGCTGAATGCAGCGTATGTTTTTGCTGAATCTCAAACCAAAACAACCTTTTGTTAAAGAACAAACAAATAAACAAAAATGCTGAACATCAAGTCACCAGGGAACGCAGTCTGAGCAGAGGCTCTGGGCAGAGAGTCATGCAGCAAATTCAAATCCAGCGAACGTTTTGGGGCAGGGGCTGCTGGGGTCACAGATGTGCTCACAAGGGCCAGGGAGTGATGGTGCCAAGTCCTCCCCCTCACGTGGGGGATGGGGGTTAAACAACAAACAGCTCAGTTGTCCCAAGGCGGGTAGGTGGTGAGCTCCACATCTCAGCTATCGACCAGGGGAGGCAGAGCCCAGGGGCCTCATTCTCCTGAGAGCCAGGTGACAAGCAACTGTTTCCCTAAACATCCATCATGGGCCTGTACCAAGCAACCCCCTGATGTGGTCACCTTGAGTGACCCTGCATCTTCCAGGCCTGTAGATGTCCCCTAGCCTGGTGCAGGCTCTCCCCTGGTGTTGCAACCTCTGCTAACACCTGACTTTTGGGGATGGGGTTCTCTCAGTGCTGGACACCGTAGTTGAGGTCCCTCTACCGGGGTGCGGCTGACTGCACCCCTAGTTCATATAGCCCACTCCCACAGGCAACAGGACATGGACTGGCTGGCGTTCTGGAATGCCACAGTCCATCTACAGCAGCTGAGGCCTGCCGATACGCCTGTGACCAGCTCAGCGGCCGAGTGGTGGGTGGTCCAGGAGTGGTGGCCAGGCTGTGACTAGAGCCAAGGCTGCAGCCGCGGGACCTGGAACTGGTCACCGATAATGACAAAGCCAGCCCCAGAGTCTGGGCTTCCTGATGGGTTATGGGTGAGGCTCTCCCAGGCCTGGGCTCTTCAGAACCTTCAGGCCCCTTCTCACCCCTGCTCCCCAGAACTGCCCTGCGTTCCCTCAGCTCCAGAAAGACACAAAGATGGGTGGCTCACTCCATTGGGTAAGCTGCTAGCAACAGCCTGAACCAAGGCTCCAAACTCGAAGGAGAGTGGGGTCTTCCATCCCTGCACCTGCGCACCAAGCCCTGGAGAAGCCACTAGCTCCCAGCAGGAAGCCAGGAACTCTTTCCATTGCTGGTGCCCCATCCCAAAAGAGACATTTCCATTCTCTCGTCCCTGGTTCCTGTCTGCAGGGTAACGTGCTCTGCTGCAGGCTGCCCGCCAACCCCTTGTGGGTGCTACGATCCCAGACACCCTGACAGGAGGTTGTGTGGACTGAGTGGCTAGAGTTTGCTCCTGCCTCCCACCTGGCTGAGCGCAGAGCTGCAGCCACCTCTCCCGGGATGGGTGCTGACACCCACCTGCCCCCCCAGTATTTGAGGGCTCTATATGTCAGGGAAGATGTGACCAAGCTCATCCGGGAGCACTTCCTGGGCATCGCCCACTCCATCATGTATCATGAGTTGCCCTATGTGGACCGTCTGCTCAGGCTCTGCGCAGACATCTTCCTGGTCCAGGAGTTGGGCGAGCTGGGGCTGGAGCAGCAACTCTTTTGCCAAACTTGTCTTGTACCGCTCGCCAGAAACCATGGCCAAGGGGGACCCGCCAGTGCCCACCTGCCCCCGCAGCCGGCCACCCCCTGACCCTGTTGCCGGGGCTCCAGCGGGGCCAGGGGAGGCAGCCATCTCGTCCTAAAGCCCTTTGGCCATGGGGAAGGCAAGTCTTTAGCTTCCCGCTGCCGTCCCCCTGCCGCCGGGCATGCAGGCCAGGCCCTGAGCCTGCAGCTGGTCCCCAGCCGGGTCCCTGGCCCTAAGGCCGCCTTTGTGCCTGTACAAGGGAGATTCAGTTCGTCCCCTGCTCCTTGACCCTGCATCCTGCAGCCCCCTGGCCGGGGGGAGCGGACAGTGCCAGCTGCCTGGAGAAGGAACTAGACCACCTCAGTGATCTCTTTCCTCCGGGGCATCTCAGGGGGGAGCTGGCGGAGCTGCTTATTGCAAGGCCATTAAGCAAGCTAATGACCCATGAAGGCTCCTGGCCTCTCCGGCCGCCCTGGCCGCGCCTCCCCGGGCTCAGAGCCCGCTACCCAGCGACTGCCTTGTGACCGCTATTATTGTTCTTTAATGTGTCGGGCCCCCGTTTTCCCAGTCAGGGCCCGGGTCTCGGAGCTGCCTGCCTTTTCTGGCTGGACCAAGACTGTGCACACAGCAGGCAGTTAATAAATATTTACTTGGGGTCAAGCCCAGAAAGAGTCACCTTGATTTCCAGGGCTGGGGAAGGGACTTGGGAGTCAGGGGACACTTGGGCAGGTGTGAGGGAGTCAGTGGGCCAGGGCATAGCCTGGGGACGTGTGTCCTACAGCCATGTTCTCGCCCCTCTGTCCCCAGCAGAGGAGGTACGGGCAGGAGCCTCTGTCAGCTGGGGCCTGAATCTCTGATCTCTTCCTCTGGACTAGGCAGCTGCTGGGATGGAGCACGAGAGGGGGCAGAGGCCCCATCTGCACCCTCACCCAAACTTGGGGAAGCCGGCTCCCACACGCCCTGGCCTCGCCTCACCTGCCTCACCTGGTCCCAGGTGGCAGGGGTCTCCCTGAATCCTGGTTGAGTCCTGCCCTTCAGCCTGAGGATCACGCCCAGGGGGCCTTCAGTGCCGAGGAAACATACCTGACCCAGTATAACACTTGGGGTCACGGTGCGCTTGGGGCTAGGACAGCCTTCCCTGCAGACCCAGCTCAGAGCCTGGCGCTGCTTTGGGAAAAGGTGGCAGCAGCCCAGAGCCTCAGACCCACGGGCAGGCCTCAGGGTGGGTTTCTAAAACAGGGTGGGAGAAAGAGTGAGACGGAGGCAAAGATGAGGTATGGTACAGCCATATTTAATTCAACTGCTGGTGAATTCTAAGGGGCCAGAGCACAGACTTCTCTTGTTCTATAAAATTGGGTCCCCAAAGCAAGTCACCTCCATCCTTTCAAAGGGGGTGTGTTATCTGGAGACAGTGGCAGCCCTGGCTGGGGAACAGGCCTGGGCTCTCTAATGTGGGTGCCATGCGTGGGGCCTGGGGCTAGAAACAGGGCCACGGGCACCCACCTTGGCCACCAAGTGGATGGATGCAGGAGGGCCACCAGGCCAAAAGCGATGGGGCCACTCATGCATCCTGGGGCCCAAGGTCACGCGGAGGCCTCTGGAGAGAGCACCGTTTGCAGAAGCTGGCTGGCAACCCAAACAGAAACAGCCCCAGGGCCCCACCAACCCCTAAGCTGTCTTCTAATACATAAGAAGGAACCAATTCCATTACCATGACAACTAAAAACAAAAACAAACCAAAGCCCACCTTAAGGTATAATCTTTCAACTGCTTAAAATTAATCAGTGCAAAGTGAAACCGGGCCCTCCGTGGCTGGGCCAGGAAGGCGGCCAGCCTCACACGAGCCTGCGCCTCTTGGAGTCCCTCTCCGTGTCCCCCTCCTGGGCGTCTGCCTCACAGCCGAGTGGGGACACCAGGTTCAGCAGCGGGTCCTCAGAGGCTCGTCCGAAGAGCGCCAGCAGGAGGGCCACGCCGAAGCCGGTGGCGCGCTCACCCTACAGGTGAAGGGCAGGGTGGAAGCGCTCTGCCAGCCCAGCCGGCCCAGCTCAGCAAGCCCACCTCTGCGGGGAGGGCCCTTGTTCTGCAGCCCCTCCTGCTGCCCCGCCACACTCGGGCCCAGCCCAGGTCTCCTCAGGGCGCAAAGGCTGAGACCCAGGGCCCTGGGCCTCTTGCAGAGGATGCGCTGGCTAGGGAAGAACCGCACACAGCAGCCACTCTGTTCCCAGAGATGAGGAGACTAGAGGTCAGGGGGGACCACAGCTGGCCGGGAGGCCGGGCCACGGGCAGTATGTCCCTCCACACAGAATGTTTCCGATGAGCTCAGCCTGCAGCTCGAGCCAGGGAGGGACTCGGATGCATGAGCTGGTGGGAGCGCCAGGCCAGTGGGGAGGAGGCGTGTGGGGAAGTGGGCTAGCTGGCCGGCCAAGGGAGTGTCCTCATAGGGGAGGGGATGACACCCACAGGGGCCCAGACTCACGGCGTGCACAGGCGCGGCGATGTCCAGGTGGACCCAGACCCCGGGCCAGTCGAAGCCGATGTGTGAGGCAATGAAAAGGCCAGCACAGGAGCTGGGGCTGTTGTCCCGGTCCTGGCGGGACAGAAGGACAGACGGTGACCCTTCCCCTCCCACCAATGGGGTGGGGGAGAGGGGCGCCACCAAGAACGCCTTTGGGGCTGCTTCTGTGTGGGCCCACTGTGGACACCCCCACACCCTCTGGACCTGCCCCGCCATCCTCAGCCATCACCCGCCCTGATGTCTGCAAAAAAAGGTCCGGGGGGAGGGCCCAGGGCAGAGAAGTAGCTGAGAGGGACCTGGGACCCCACGGGCCTTGCCTTCACCCAGGGGGCAGCCAGCAAAACGACTGGTGGGGGCAGCAGCCCCAAGATGCAGAGGAACCCCAGTACCCACCATGGGGGACATGCTGGCAGGGAGCCCAGGGAGAGGCACATCCCTCCTTCGGACGTCCCCTGCCAGCACAGATCTGGGGCCTCACGGGGTGGGGGGGGGGCCCTGGTCTGTGCCACTGCTGTTTCCAGGGGTGATACCGGCAGGGCTGTGCGTGCCTGTTCTGTGCCATCTGGTGTGGGAGCCACTCCAGACCTACCGCCACCGAGTTCTTCATGTCTGCCACGGCCGAGGTGAACTCGCTGAAGTGCAGCTCAGGACAGTACACAAGCGGGTGCACCAGGTCCCCACACTTCTGCCCGGCCTTCACGCAGGCCGCCTCCCACTCGGCGCTGTTGGTGAGCACGGCTGCGTGGTACTTGCCGGTGGCAATGCCCTGGGAGGTGACCCCGTAGGAGGGGACCAGAGAGATACAGACAGAGCCGCACAGGGGGCATCCACACCGGAGAGGAGGAGAGGGAAACACACAGACAGCAGGAGAGGGCAGACAGCGAACGAAGAAGCCAAAGGAGAGGCAGTGAGAGGCGAAAACCAGACACAGGGGGAGGCGTGAACACAGAGCTCGCAGGGGACGGTTTCCCGGCCTGTCCTGGCCTTCAGGCCTCAGTCCGCGGGCTCTGCGGCCTGTACCCTCCCTGGGTGCCTCAGACAAGCTTCCTGGCCCCTCCCCAGGTTGTGAAGACGAAGTGACAACAATCTCTCCCCGCTTCAGTCCAGAGGGGCTCTGGCTCCCGGGGGACCCACCTGCGCTCCGGTCAGCGTAGCCATGTCCAGGATGATGTCAGCGCCCAGGTCCTTGCAGGCATAGGACACGCCGTCCGCCAGCACCAGCCTGCCCTCAGCGTCCGTGTTGTTGATTTCCACGGTCCTGGGTGGGCAGACACCCCAATCAGGACGACACTCGCTGGGGCACTGGGAACGAGTCCCTCTGGAACTGGGGTGACCCACAGAGGGCCCTCATCTCTAGAACTCCCCCCCACCAGGCGGCAGAGCCACCTCGTCCCCTACAGCCACGTGGTGCCAGGGACAGGAGTCAAGGGCATCAGGCCCATCCCGCTGCTGCTCCCCAGCCGGGAGCTGGGGCGAGCTGCCTCGGCTTCCTCGTCTGCAAGGTGAGGGCAGCATTCCCAGTGCCTGGCCCTGGGTAACGCAGGAGAGGATGCGCCTCGCAGGGTTACCCTGGGGACAGGCACCCGTGTGTGTGTGTGTGTGTGTGTGTGTGTGTGTGTGTGTGTGTGTGTGTAAGAGAGAAAAAGGACTCGTCCTGCTAAAGTAGGGTGAATCCCGAATGCTGGCACCTGGTCCAGTGACAGAGATCACCGGGCACCCCCGGGAGCAAGCCGCCTGCTGCCCAGAGGCACCTTCCCGACAGGCTTTGCCCCTGGCTGGGGTGAGCAGGGTGAAATCGGCCCCCCAGCCAGGCATGGCTCAGGCTGACCAGCCTGGCCCTGGGAAGGAGTGGGCAACGCGCCCAGAGGGAGCAGAGGGGCTGGCCTTACTTTCCTGAGTACAGCAGGTGGATGTCATCCGGCCTGGTTGCATTGGGCCCCACCGCGTTCTCCGCCAGGCAGAACACCGCGTGTAGGTTGTCCTTGAAACCCTGGAGGGGACGGGGCAGAGGCCCCAGTTAAAGGCTGGTGGTGCTCGGAGGAGGAAGGGGAGGCCGGAGCTCTCTGGCCCGCTGCGCTCCACAGCCGATGGACGGACAGACAGGGCAGCAGGGAGCAGGGCTTCCCCGCCACTCTCTGGCAGTCCTGGCAGCGGGCAAAAAGGCCGAGGCTCCCCCCCATCTGGGAAAGCCCTGCTCTTCTCCCCTGGAGCCCACGGAGGGCAGGGATGAGCCAGAAGCGGGCCGCAGCTGCAGGCGTTATCCTGGTTCTGCCGCTTCCCCGGGGTGAGAGGCAAGCCGGTCACCCAGCCAGCGGTCCGTGTCCCTCACCATACAAACCTGCTGAGCTCCACACCGCCTGTGAACAGGGACCTCAAAACGGGAAGCATCTACCTGCTGGGGCCCTTCCTAGCCATCCTGTCCAGATGCCAGGACAGACCCTCTGCTGGAGCCGAAATCAGGGATAAACAGCAAAGACGAGACAGTGCCAGCCACGGGAGTCCTCCAATCCACTTCCCCACAGGCCGGGCCACCAACCAGCAGCAGCTGTTCCCTTCAGAGAGCCACCAGAGAGCCCCTACAGCTGGGCCTGGTCCCCTCACCCCTCACAGCCTCTGACAAGCTCGTCGACCAGGGCAGCAGGCCCCGGTGGGCGGGGGCAGGTGGCAGGGGCCGGGCCTGCGGTGCTGAGCCAGGCGAGTGCCTCACTGAGTGCTGGCGGCTCTCCTGGTTAGTCTCCAGCCAGCAAGTGGACAAGAGTGCAGGTGACTGATCCTTAGGTCACTTCCCCCCACAGGGCTCATGGGGACCTGCGGCCTGTCGCTCCGCTTGGGAGAGACCCTAGGAAGGCTGGTCTGGCTCTGGGCCGGGCTCTGGAGGTGCTGGCCCCTCGGCCCTGCTAGAAGCCCCGGGGCAGTCGGGACGCCCCCGCCCCATGTGGGCCAAGCCCCTCCTTTCTCCTGGGATTCTCGCTCCTTTCTCAGGGACCAAGCTAGACCCCTGAGGCAGGAATAGAAACGATTTGCCAAGGCCTTTTGTTTCACTCTAAGTTTACTGCACAGGTGGCCCCGGATGGGTACAGGAGGTCTTGTATGTAGTGACAGGAAGGGCTGAGTCTCTTAGAAGTGGCCTGAAGCAACGACAGGAGGAGGTAAGCCACCCCCATGGAGGTTAGGGCACACCACACCTTTGTTGCATAAACACGTTTTATGGCACTTGGTCTTTGGGCTCCAAAGGACATCGCCCAACCCCCGCCCCCCAGCACAGCCGTGGGCAGGGAAGGGCGGCCTTGCATTTTTGGAACCTTTGGCCTCTGATGGGTGTGGACCCCCAGGGTGAGGCAATGCACCCCATTACCACCAAAGTATTTCTGCCTGTGTTCCTGGGGACGAGGCCTGGACTCCCCGAGAACAGACGAGGGGCCCTGTACTTCCCGCGGGCCTCCTTAACCACAAGCCTTTAGCAAGAAGATGCCTGCTGCCTCCTTGGGGCAAACACAGGAGGGCAGCCACCACCAGCTGGTCCCTCTACTGGGGGTCCCCAAAGTCACCACCAGCTGGTCTCTAACCAGGGGCTCCCCAAAGTCGCTACCTGCTGGTCCCTTAACTGGGGGCTCCCCCTTGCTCCGGAATCTGGTTCCAATTGTTGGGCTCCATGTGGCCGGGCATGTCCGGCCCTGTCCATGGGGAGCCTGCTGCTTGGTGAGCTGGTCTCCGCGATCTCGGACGTGCGGGTAATGGTGGGCACGCGGCCCCTCTGACTCCCCTGGACACCCTTGCTCAATGGTCACAGGCTACTCCCAGGGCAGACCCCAGTCCTTCACACCTGACTGTGGTTCTCAAATCCAAGCCAGCCCCTCCCCAGCCCCCGAGTGTGAGCAGCAGGCCAGGCTGGCGCAACCTGCCCCAGAGCACCCCTTCCCATTTGGGTTTTGAGAGAAGAGGCTCTTAGAACCAAGTGGGGTCTCATGAAGCCTGAATGGCACAAGGTCAAGACTGCATTCACACGAGGTGACCCTGGCAGGAGGCGGCTGAGGAAGCTGCCTTCCCCTGAGGCCTGGCAGCCAGCCGTACTGCCCCCTTTCCCTCCCCGGTCGGATCGGCGCTGCTGCACCGCCCCCCTCGCCTTCTGGGCCATGATGGACCCTGGACAGCCAGGTCTGCAGAGGATGAAGACGGCGGTCCCGGGTCCCCACCAGCACAGGTGGCACTCCCATGGTGGGTCTGGTAGGTGACTGGCCGACGCCAAAGGCTGAGCTGATGTGAAGTCAGACAACAGAAAGCTCAGATGTAGCAGGTGGCACCAGATAGGCCCTCCTTCTGACATGTCACCCCAGGCCGGAGGATAAAAAACCAAGTCCCCATGGCCCAGTGAGGGCTGTCGCTGCTGTCCTCCCAGCTCAGGGACCCCCCTCCACCAGCTTTTGGCTTCCGCCAAAGCAGGACCCTCTGTCTGAAGGTTTCCCTGCTGACAGGGGAACCTGGCTTCCATGGGGCGCCCGGGTGCAGCCCTTATAAATCCTAAGTCCATCCCTTACTCCATGATGGACCCCCAAGCACTGGCCTCCCAGCCTGAGCTGAGGGCGTCTGCTAGTGCTGAGTGTGGGAGCGAGTCAGTCCTGGCAAGGCCATTTCCCAGTGGCCACTATGACACAGAGAAAGGCTGTTGGGAGGGACACGTAGGGAAACGTATGCTTGCGAGCTCGGTCCAGGGCCCAACGCATGGGGCTCCACCTGCTCGTGCCGTGTGGTCTCAGGTCAGGATTCTTCACTTAACACTCAAGGGGCACCTGGTACAAGCCAGGCCCTGAGCAGCAGGCACGCGGCACTCTACTGTTGGGTGACACACTCAGACAGGGAGGACACTCAGGTAGAGGCCACACACCCAGTAAAAGGAGCCTGGATAGAAAGCAGGGAGCTCTGGGAGTTCAGGAGGAAACCAACATGGGAACACAGAGGAGGGACGAAGCCACCAAGCTGTGGAGACTCAGGAAGGCCTAGATGGGGGCCCGGGAGGGAAGGCAGGAAGACACAGAGAGCATGCCCAGGGAGCCCTCGTCCCCAGGACTGCAGAGGTGGGCCTCACTCACCTGCTTGACAGCGGCTCTGAAGGCCCCCAGGACGGCTGCAGCGCCCCCACAGTCTCTCTTCATGCCCGGCATGGTGGTCTGGGGATGGCACAAATGGGGGTGATGCGGTCAGTGGATGCTGACCAGCCAGCACCAGTGCCCCACCTGCCCTGCTGGCTTGGCCAGACACACCAGGGCCCCAGAGGAGTTCCCCAGACCCACAGGACCTGGTGCCACAGAACCCTGGAAACTCCCACTGTCAGGGCTGTAATGGCCAAAGACCAGGGGACCCTGTCACTTGAGCAGAGCTTTGGGGCTCTCCACAGGAACGGGGCCAGGCGTGAGAAGGAGAAGAAAGAGGGTGAGGCATCCCGTATTTGCCATGGCCAGGCTGCTACACGGACACAGCCACCCTGGCTTGGAGGCCAGGCCCTGAGCCCCATGTCACCAGGCTGCCCAGGGAACAGGCCCACTTCCTCACACAGGCATTTAAAGCTGTCACCATCTGGCCTCACTGACACTTCTGTCCTCGGCTGTCTGCTCCTCCATGGCGCTGTCTTGAATGATCCGCTTTAGTTAATGTGCACTCTCCCAAACGTCACTGGCCATCACCAGTCCCGCCCCCACTGGCAAGGACGCCTGCAACCCCACCATCCCGCCCACCCGCTGTTGGCATCTCCTGGGTAGGTGTGAGGCTGCTGGAAACAGAGGCACCCTCCTGCCACGGAGGCAAATGTGATTTTCTATAAACTAGTTGAGAGTGGTCACACATTTTTACATTTTAAAGGCTCCCAACTCTAATTGACAAGTTCATATTTTAAATTAATAGCAGGTCAGCCCGTGTAAGGATTCGGGTTTGAAATGCACTGAATGATTTTTTTTTTGAACCTTTATCGGATTACAGGGGCCTTGCATTTTAATGGAAAGTATTTTTAGATATAAACTGAGCTGCTTTTACAATTAAGTCGTGTGAAAATGACCCAGCTAGCACTACAGAACAGAAGCTGTCTCTTTTGACCTAAACTGCGAGAAAGCACAGGATTGTTTAAACGGAAAAATGGGACCTCAGATCTGGAATCAATCCACTTGCAAAATGGCCCCTACAGAAAACAGCTTGAGATGGTGGCTGGAATTGTGACTCCGTCACCAGCCCAACCTCCCAACCATGGGCACAGCTGCCAAACCGCCATGGTAGGCCCACTGAGGGTGTACGCGTCGCAGCCTCCGGGACCCCGTTCCCACTTTTATTAAGGAAACGTTTCCCATAGTAACACTGGGTGCTACCTGCCTTTCTCACTGGGTTGACACTTGCACCAATGGAGCACAAGCGACCACAGGCTGGGGCTGCAGCACGGAGCCAAACATGGTACCCAGTGACCTGGCAGTGCCTGGCCTCATGTCCAGCCCTCCAGGGAAGTAAAACACTGCGATTTCACTTGAGTTTCCTTGCTGAAGCAGTAAAATTATTAACTTAAAAAAATCTCAACTGTTGAGTACAGCCACTTTCAATGTTCTGCGTGATGGAATGGAAGGTACTCGAAAAGCACAATGGCTCCCCGACGCTTGAGGGCTGGTTAGAGCAGAAGCAGGGGACCGGTCCTTTGAGTTGTGAGTTGACCCAGCTTCTGTTCTCACCAACACCGTCCTTACTTGAAAGGACAGCTGACACACGAGGGTTATTCAGACTTGGGTATCTGGCAGCTGTTTCCTCAACAATGAAAAGTGAGTCTCTCAGTTCCAGGAAAACAGCTACATTATTTGTTGCCAATGGCAAAATTGGAGCTTTCAAGCAAAAATCAGAACTTTGCAAAACTTGTTATCTGCCTCCGTGACAGCTTCCTAATACACAACAACTTTTTAAATGAGATGGGGGGGGGGTGATATTAATGAATGTGATTTAAAAAAATATTACATAAGGAAATGTGTCAACATTTGGAGGTTCTGCATAACTCTGCAAGCAGTATTTTCCAAATGACCTGTGCATGATATTACAAAATCATGCATTCAAAGTTCGAGATAGACCAGTAGGTTTTGACGTAACAGTGCAAAAGGTCACTGACATTGTTTCAGATTCCACGTTGTAACTAACCTTTCAGGAACCACTGCTTGTGGAGTTTTGGTGTACTACTAGCAAAGAAGAATGTCCTCGGTTATCTGAGAAGTGCACTAAAACACTTCTCCCTTTTCCACTGCAAAATGAGTGAGGCCAGATTTCCTTTCTCCATTTCAACTAAAACAACATCTCTTAATAGACTAAATGCCGAAGCAGACACGCGATCACTGCTAGCTTCTATTAGGGCAGACACTGAAGAGATTTGCAAAAAATGTAAAGCAACACCACTCTTCTCGCTACTTATTTTTCATTTTGGAAAATTAGTTATTTTCATAAAATTATATCCTTTACATTAACATGCAATGGATTTATATTGCTATTTTTACATGAATTAATAAATATCTTTAAAATTTCCAAGTTTTAACTCCCAGTTGGGGAAATCTCAACGGACATCACCTGTATAAACAAAATGTCTTTGGGACCAATACGTTTAAGAGCAAAAAGGGTCCTGAGACTAATATATTTGAGATCTGCTAGCTCACGCTGATCCTGATCTGCCTTTGAAATCTTTGGAAATTGAGATGTGATTGTTCCTGCAAAATTGGGAGCTGGGCCACCAGCAAAATGACTAATTCCCAGGCAGCCCAGCTTCTCACTCTGACCCTCCAACAAGCCAACATCAAAACAAGCTTCCGACCAGTTCTACCAGCCAGAACTCAGCTGATTCAGGGAAAAGGTGTGTGTGTGTGGGGGGGGGTGGGAGTGGGGGTGGCCAGCACCAGGGAAGACAGAGGGGGCTCATTGTCTGTGGGGAATTTCAAAAACGGTAATAAACCGACTAAAAGTCAGTGTGCCTGTTGTCATCCCTGGTAAATTATTCCTCCTGAAAAAAAACCTGTTGTTGGTTGAAGTGAGTCCTAGTCATGTAAATGAAAGCTTCAAATTGCCTGTTTTAATCACTTATCCTTTTAGAAACATTATTCTAATGGATGGTAATAACCGCCAGTTACACAACTGGCCTGACCCGTGCGCCTTCTCATTCTGAGGCTGCATCCTAACAATGGGAATCGGAGTCGAGCAGGCTGGCTCTGAATGGAGTGGGGTGTCTGCAGCGCCTGCGATGTCACATGTGTCTGCCTTCAAATAGAGGACTCAACATAACCCGGAGGGTGCGGTGAGCTTGGGTCTCTTCGCTTCCCTTAGTCTGAGAACACCTGCAGTTGTGTTTAAAATGTTTTTACTCCACAGACATTTGAAAGCCACTAGAGGCAATCTCAAAGAAAGGAAGACATGGACAATGTCGCAACTTCTGGAGTTTGTTGGGAAATGGAATTTTTAGCAGTCTCTGCCAAGTGATCCTGCGGTGAAAGACTTTTCCTGAGTGTGTATCAGTTGCTTCGTGCAACAGAAACTCCTCAAAGCTAAAATTAACAGTGTTTTTGGGTCGACTATGAGTGAAGACAGACTAACAAATCTGGTACCTCTGTCCAGTGAATCTAAAGATGTAAAGATCAATTGTGATCAAATCACTGACAAATCCTCAGAAGGTAGATCTGGAAACAGAAACTATAACACCAACCAATACTGAGGCATAAGATTTTTCTATTAAAAAATTACATTAATGCTACTTAACAGTATGAATCAATTACTGTTTTCTTAATTCATACTGTAATATTTGTTTTTAAATTTTTACTGGCATAATAATATGTATGCAATTCAATATAAGAGAACTCACTATCAGTTAATTGACTATTGGCGTTTCTTTTTTTAAACCTTTGTTATTATTAGTTTCATTTCCTGATTAGTCCTGAAAATAATTTCATTGTTTAGAGGAGGAGGGATGTTAAAAAATATATAACATCATCCACTCCAGCTACCAAATACACCAGACAGGCTAGAAGTACAAGAAATAGTACAATCCCTACCATAAATACCAACTAACATTGGGGTTGAATATCAGAGAGGCGACAGGGCTTGGTGGGGCCTGCAGCAAACTGGGGTAGATAGGGTATAACCCAGGGACAGGACCACTCAGCTCCAGCAGGACGCTGCCAGGTGGAAACGCAGGACCAGCACTGCCAGATCTTCTGAGTTTACAAAAAGTCCGAAATCCAGTCTTTTGTGAGAATTCTTCCTGTTTTTAAATGTTGGTAACTAATTCAGATTTTAAACTACCATTTGCACCAACAAGACACATCTGTGAGCCAGGCGGGCTGCTAGTTTTCAGTGTGGGCTCTGTGTGAGCTTAGCATGTCCTCTCCCTTCTAAAACTGTCTCTCTGGGCTGGTTGCTTGTCTTCCGATTTCCTGCGGCATGAATTTCACGTCAGCTCCTTCTGAGTCCATCTCAGGTTTGCCCCTCGGAGCCCAGCGTGGCGCCCAGGGGCTGCTCCACACAAATGTGAGTGATGAGTGGATGCAGACTGGTACCATCACTCCTATTCCTGGTACCATCAGAGCTCCCAGTGCCCAGAGGGCCCCTAACGTGCTGGGTATGGGAAAGGGTGGGCCGCTCGGAGGCAGACCAACGATGCGGGCACGGACTGGCATCCTAAGTACCTGTCCTCCTGAGACAGCGGACTTCAAAGGCCACCCACAGGAGAGGCTTCTGGGCTTCAGCCTCACAGCCATGCGCCCAGGCAGCTTGCCTTGGGTCCCAGCTCCCCTCGCTTTACGCCAGATGCCCGCTTTCTGAGTGGTCTGTGCAGACCACCCCTGAACACTGTCTCCACGGAAACCAGGGTGACCGTGGTTCCTTGAACCCTGCCTCCCTGGGTTCTGTTGGCCTGCCCTTTAATCACTTCTGCGGCCTTTTTCTAGATCCTTCCAGCTTTTTCCACCCTGTTTGAAGAGTGAAATCGTCTCCCTCTTGGGAGGGGAATTAGCTCTATTGACTCTCTTCCTGAACTCGGCTACCCAGAGGCACGCCCCAGCTCCGAGTTCCCAGGATCCTGGCCGCCTTCCTCCAATACCTGAGAGCTCAGGAGCCCGCCCAGAGCCCTGCACCCCAGGACCTCACCTTCCCTTTGATGCTGAGACCCCCGGTGTCGTAGACGATTCCTTTGCCCACCCATGCAATGGTCTGGGTGGCTCCGTCCGGGGTGTGGCTGAGGATGGCCAGAGCTGGGGGGTGGAGGGCAGCTTTGCCAACCCCGTAGATTCCTATGGGAAGCACGGGGAGGGGTCTGTTAGGCTGGGGTTGAACTGAGCAAAGGACTCCCAACAGCCCCCCAGAGACACCAGCTCCCCTCGCCCCCCAGGAAACACCTTCCGGCTTCGGGCTATTGCTCCTGGCGATTGTGCTGTCCGAGCCGAGCTCCTGGCCCCCTTTCCTGCCCCTGACCAGTGGGGGATGAGGAATGCAAATCAGCTCCAAAGCTCTGAGACTGCAAATGCATTCTATGCGAAGCATTGTTAGGCCAGAAAACCCACTGAGAGAAAAAGATTGTATCATTCCCAGAAAGAAATGAACAGGACTGCAGAATGAAATGATTTTTGGATAATGCTTCAAGGTCGCCCCAGCCCACGCTCGCTCTCCCTTCTCTGAACCCTCCCTGTACTCAGAAGTGCATCACCCTCTCCAAGCTCACTCCAACCACAGCCTCACTGTTCATTTTATGCCCCATCTTCTCAAGAAAATCGTGGCCTGCTGTGGGCAGAGTCCATGTCCCAGGTTCCCCAATAATGGAGCTGAACAATAATCACAGCAGCCGAGGCGAGAGCCAACAGTGGCTTCCTGACAAACTCTTCCTCAGCCTGCAAGACCCACTGTAAAGGCAGGAGTGGCCTCTCCTTCCACCTGTAACTGCTTTGTGTGTCTGTGGCAGGCACCTCTGAGATGGCCCCCGAGGACCCCCACCTCAAGGCATTCATGGCCAAATGCACCTCTCCCTCTAAGTGTGGGCAGGGCCTTGTGTCTCAGCTCTGCAGGGTAAGACAGAAGTGAGAGATACCACTTCTGAGATCAGGTTACAAAAAAGACCTTGCCTCTACCTTGCTCATTTGCTCTTTCTCGCTCTCTCACTCAGAGACCTCGCCCCAGGGAAGCAGCTGCCAAAAGCTGTAAGCCACTCAAGGAGAGGCCCACAGGACAAGGACAGACTGTGGGCACCTGAGGCCTGCTGGCAGCACATCACTGGCCCCAGGCAAGCCCTCAGAGGGCTGCAGCCCCACCAACACCTTGATGGCAGCCTGGGCCCAGGACCCTGCTAAGCCAGGCCTGACTCCCCGCCCACAGAGCTGTGACAGCATGAATGCGTGTGGCTGTCAGTGGCTACCTTCTGGGGGAATCTGGTTTGCAGCCATAGATAACACATACAGTGGCCCTCCCCCCAGCCAGTCTGCAAGTACCGTGTCCTAGTCACTGTACCTCCAGCGCCCGGGGAGTGGAGGTAATCAGGGAAGGCTCTCTGAGGAGGTGGCTTTGAGCCGAGCCGTGGCTCTGCCATGAGAGAACTTCCTGGGAGAAAGTATTCCAGATAGAGAGAACCTAGTACAAGGCCCTGATGTGGACGTGAACTTGTGTATTCGAGGAACAGAAAGGCCCTGCTGAGGTGGCCCACGAGCCAGGACAGCAGCACATGAGGAGGCTGGAGAGGGATGGGATGGGGAAGGACTTGGAGCCTATGGTGTCCAAATGTGATTCAGAATCTGAACTGCTGCCTCCTTTCTACCCCAGAGACAGTCTGCTTCTCAGGGTTTGGTCTCAGGGTTGGACACAAGCCGCTTTCTTTCAGGATGGACCTTGGGACAACACACCATGTGGCCCACTGCCATTCTGCCACCCAAGGTACCCCAGACCGTGCCCTGAGGCTGTGACCTGCAAGGACCAGGCTCCCACCCACCTCCAAATCCTCTTGTCTTCAGCTCCTCGTCCCGGATGATGGTTGGGGCGATCCCCAGATCTTTTCCAACTTTCTTAATCTCCTGGATGTGTTCATGGAAAAAACAACACCAGGACACGTGAAGACAGCTTAAACTGAGGCGACGCCCAGGCTCCGGGCCAGGGATGAGCCGAGGGCTGCATGGCGGGAGAGGAACCAGGTTTGCAAGCCAGCGGCTCCAACTCTCTCGGCTTTGAGTGTGATTAAACCCAGGAGAGAAGGCTCAGCCTCCAAACTCTGCAATTTCCTGCAGCTCATGGCTGGAGTCCTGCAGAGGGGCCTTCAAGGGAGGCTCTGTCCCCGCTCCGCCCTTGACCAAGGCCTGCTGGCTCCTTGGAGCTGGGTGGACAGCAGGACTTCATCCCCACAGCCCTAGGCTTCCCTAGGTAAGGTGCAGAGACTGTAAACACTGTCCCCCTCCAGCCCCCACATTTCCTCTGAACTTGGGGTCTACCAGCACCCATTCCATCCTGGTCCCACCCGCGGGCAGGGCCACGCACCTCGAGGAAGTTGTCTGTGTTCATCTCATTGCAGGGTGTGTCCACAATGCGGGCGGCCAGCCGTACACCTTCCGTGGCGCTCGCTAAGCACTAGAACACAAAGCACAGGTTGTCACTGGGGCCCTGGGACCAGGTGGGAGGGGGCCGCCCTCCTTGTCTGTTGCCCACCAGAGGCACACGTCGCCTGGGACAGGTTGCGGGGCTGCGGAGAGGACAGCGAGGGGCAGGTGGAGGGGGAAGTCATGCCTCCTGCTGTCGCTCGCCCATGCCTGAGACCCACCAGCGAGCTACAGAAGTGGGCACCCTGCCTCCAGAATCTCAGTGACCCTTCAGCCTGGCATCCCGACCTGGCATAAGTGGGCCCACCTTCCTTTCCAAGCCTCACCTCCTACTGCTCTCCCAGCAGCAGGTGGCCCTTGCACCTGGCCCAGGGTATGTCCTGGGCCCTCCTCTCTCTGGCCTCCGCCCAAATCCCCACACCCTCTCTCAGGGGGAGGTGCTGCCTGTACGATGGACCGAATGTCTGAGTCCCCCAGACCCACAGGACATGTATTAGGAGGCCTTTGGGAAGTCACGGGGGTGAGGCCCCCTGAGGGGATTAGTGTTCTCATGAGAAGAGAAAGACCAGAGCACGCTGTCTGAAAGCCAGGGAGACAGCCCTCAGCAGAGCCTGATCTCGGCCCTCCCGCCTCCAGCACTGTGAGAAATAGATGTCTGTTGGTTAAGCCACCCGTCTACGGGATTTTCTTAGGGCGGCCTGAGCTGACCAACACACCCTCCCTTCTCTTGTGGCCAAGATCCCAGCCATCCAAGGCCATGTCCTCTGGAAGGTCTCCAGATCCTCCTGAGGGAGTAAAAGTGCTGTACGTTCTGAGCCCCTGGCCCACGGGCCGTGCAGCCACCCTCGGGCTCGTAGGGGCATTTTTCTGACTTGAGCCCCATGTGAGTGTGTCATAGACTCCGCCCACCCTGGTTTTTCTGGTCATCTGAGGCGACACTGCTCTAGGCACAGGGCAGCTCATACCTCGACCCAGCACCCAGAAGGGAGCAGGCGCCTGACACTGGCCACCACAGACGCCTCGGGCAAGGGTGCACGCGTGCCTGGGGACACATCCCAGAAACTGGCGGCCCTCCACCCCCTGGGTTTTCTGCAAGGAGCTTCCATTCTGCTTTTGCTTCAGCCCTGGCCTGAGGTTTGCTGCCTTCTCGCTTGTCTCTGCCCCACCACCCACTCCCAAGCTTCAGCTAGGCCAGCCCTGCTGCTCTACCCAGCCCACGGGAAAGAGGCGATATTAAGAGAAAAGCAGCTCAGGGTTAGCAGGGGTGCAGACAGCAGCAAGCGAGCATCACCTTTTCTGGTCCCACAGTGTCAGGGAGGGTAGGCTCTGGGTCAATAACACCAGCCCTGCCACCTCCCAGGCCCTGTCCAATTGCTGCGACAGCTCTGCCTGTCCCAAAGCAATTAAACCCCAAAGCCCCAAAGAAAGAGATGCAAGACTTGACAGCTCAGATATGAGATGTACCCGTGGGGTCCCGTCACCTGTCAGCGGGCTCTACCCTGGAAGGGTGAGGGTCCCCAGCTGTGGGAGTTGCAGTGGCCCATTGCTCATCTCTGACGCAGCCCGGGGCCGCTGTCTCGGAAGTGCGTCAGTGCCCTGAGACTTGTCTTGAAGGAGGCCAGGCGCTCACTATGCTGACCTCCAGTGAACAAGCTCCCAGCCCAGCTGGCGTGGGCATGTAGGGGGCTGGAGGAGGCTCCCAGGGCCCACCTCCACTGCAGAGCCACACGGCCTTGGGGAAGAGCTTGCCCCTCGTCCAACCTGCTTCCTCATCACAAACGCAGGATCATTCATCCATTCATTCCATCCACGCTGATGCGAGCGCCTGCTATGTGCCAGGCTCCATGCTAGACTCAGAATCCAAAGATGTCCAAGGGACGTCCAGCAGAGATCACAACAGACCATTCCATGCAATGCTAGAGGAGGAGGGTGACAGACAGGCCACAGGGACCCGGAGAGGACCAGGATCTAGAAGGGGGCTGAGGAGGTCCCCATGGTGAAGAAAAGGCCACACGGGTATCAGAACCTCACGTGTCCATGATCTAAGAGAGATAGCAGCCATGATTAAAACCTGGCTCTACCCCTTGCTGGCGTGGCCCAGAAAGTCACTAAATGTCTCTGAGCCTCAGTTTGTTCAAGTCTAAAGTGGGAATAACAACAGGACCCGCCTCACAGGGCTGCTGTGAGGACTAAGTAAAGCGGTCCCTGTGTGTACACAGGTGCGCTCACACCAGGACCTGATACCTGGCAAGCACTCAGAAAACGCTGGCACTCACTTTGTAAGGCAGTGGGAGGGGGGACCTGAAGGGAGGGCCTCTGGAGGCCGCAAGACCAACTCAGGGGCATCTGCAAGGGTCCAGGAGAGCAGTGGGGTGTGGGGGGCGGAGCCAGAGGCAGTGGTCCCGTGCTGGGACCAGGTCCCTGGCCTCTGGCAGCTCCCATTCCAGCACGGGGCACAGGAGCCACACAAAGATGTACAATGCCGGGTAGGGATGGCACTCAGCTGGCAGACAGCCTGATGGTGTGGAAGGGGCCATGTCAGCCAGGGTGGCCAGGCCTCCCTGGGGAAGGCACGTGGGCAGAAGCCAGAAGGGAACCTGACATTCGGCCCATACAAGGACTTCTAAGTGGGAAATCACTTCCAGCTTTGCGTGCCTCAAAAGGATTATTCTGAGGATCAAATGAAATAACATGCAAAATTGTTCGCCATACGGGGAACATGATATATACACGGACGGGGTTGTTAGCATTAAAACACGAAAGCGCCTGGCGCTGCTTAAGTGCTAGGTAAACACTGGCTGAACAGAACCGAATCCTGAAAACACAGACCACCCTCGGGGAGAGGGAGCCTGCAGCCCGGTTCCGAAGGCCTCTGGGGCCGTCTCAGGAATGACAGCAGTCTTCCCCAAGAAGGGAGAGGGGGCCCCCCAGACACCCCGCCCTCGCGGCCCAGCTCAGTGGGGGCCCTGGGACATGGTCTGAACGTCCGGACACCCACTTGCAAAGTGGACACTTCCACAGGCCCGTTGTCTTGTCCGACCAGGAAAAACTCCACGGTGACCGTCTTCTTCTCTGGGCGCCGCGAAGCACCCGAGCGGTGGGTAAACAGCGGGAAGGCGCGGGCCAGGGCGCAGGCGGAGGCGAAGGCGTCGGACCGCTCACAGACCATCTAGGGCACAGAGAGGCAGGGCCGTGAGTTGGGCGCAGGGCCCACCCAGGGCCAGGGCTCACAGCCGGGTCAGAGGCCCCAACCAAACCGGCGCTCGGGGACGGTCCCCCAAACCACGGTCTGGCCACAGGAGCAGAACACACAGGCCACCGGATGTGTGCTGCCCAGCGCCTCCCGAGACAGGAAAGCGGGACGTGGAGGGACAAGCAGCAGACCCCCGTCTGGGCCTGAGTCTCAGATTTGCCACCAAAACTGATCCGGGCGCCGTGGCTTCGTCTCTCTGCCCTCCGTTTCCCTGTCCGCCTGTCAAGCAGGGGTCACAAGGTCGGGCGTGGCGGCCCACGACCGCGGCTGTGGGCCCGAGCGCTGGGTGGCCGCGGCCGGGCTCGCGAGACACGAGGTCCCTGCTGGAGGAGCCGCTTCCCTCGGAGGCACTCACCACGATGCAGCGGTGCGTTCCCGGCGGCAGGCAGGTCCGCACCAGCCGGGTGACGAAGTGCGCGGCCGAGGGGCTGTTGTGCCGGCTCAGCCGCGAGGGCAGGGCGGCCACGGTGGCGTAGTTCAGGTAGAGGGGGCAGCTGTCCGTGGGGTTGGGGTTGAGCGTGCTTAGCGCGGCCTGCCAGAGCTGCATCAGAGGGAGACACAAAGACACACGCCAGGCTCCAGGCGGCCGCGTGCCCGGCCTGGCCGCGGGGCGCGCACACTCGCGCTGTGCAAGGGCCCCCTCGCAGCTCCCCCGAGGCCCCCACCGTCCATAACTAAGGTGTCACAGCTCGCTCGAGCTAAGTGTGTGTGTGTATCCGCGGGCACGATTCCACCCTTGTGGGGCGAAGCCCTGGGAACGGAAAAGGCCAGTTTGGGGGATGCTTTGCTTCAAACGCTGGAAACCCACATGGGGGGCCCCAGCCAGGTGCCACTGAACGGGGGGCAGGCGGGTACTGCCGGGGCACGGCCCTCGAGGCAGTTCTGCCGAGGCGGTCACAGCTGCCGGCTCTCCCAGGAGCGCGGCCCCGGCGCGGGCGGGGCCGGGCGCGCGCCTGCTCTGCTGGTTGTAACGAGGCGGGCGGCCCGGGCCTGGGAGGCCGGCCTGGCCTTGCGCGCCCCGGCGGCGGGCGGGGGGCTCGGGC